CGGAGCTGGCGGGGTACTACATGGGGATGGCACAGTCCGCCACGGCTGTGGACACAGTCCCCCTGCAGTCGGACATCTCCCTACTGCGGGAGCAGGCGGCTTCGGAGGTTGCAGGTGCACGCCATGAGGCAGCGATGCACAACCAGTTGATAGCATGACGACGGGGAAGACGGGCCTGGGGCGCCAACACAAAAGTCTCGGTTGACTTTTTTAGACGACGCCGAGTCAGTGGCTGAGTCGCTGAAGGTGGAGTTCGACCCAATGGACGTCTGCACCTGGCGTCCTTGGTTCCGTGGGAAGACTCCCTACGAGATTGAGAAGCAGCTGAAGCACATTTTTCTTCGCGGCGAGGCACCCCGCACTGCGCCAGTGAATGATGCCTTCCAGGCGGTCCTGCGGTGGCTGTTGGCGGCGGAGGCCGACCCGCGGTATTGGGCTGACCACCAGGGCACTGGGCGCAGGATGGGTTTGACGTTGTTTTACAGGGTCAATGGATCCTCGTACAAGATGACGGAGACTGAGTTTCTGCAGGCGTGCGAGGAGAACTCGTACAATTTCGACCCGCTCCTCAAAGTTCTACGTTTGTCTGGCAAGAAGGACGCCTACAAGACGAAAGGGTCTTCTGGCCCCGCGAAAGGCAGCGGCGGAGGTAGGAAACTGGTCGACGGACCCCGCGAGCTTGGAGAAGGTGAGTCGACCACAGGTTCGGCGACCGACATTGGTGGAGATTGCAAAGTTGGTGCCGCACACAAATTTCGGAGGGGTGGCAAGCCGGCCGCACTCGTCACTACCGCCGGGAACGTCGGTAAACGATCATCGAATGTTTTGGGACGGGTTGGAGGCGGTGCCCCCTCACCTGTCGGCTCTGAGGAGCCAGGTCAACGAAGTGGCGGCAGACATGTACGAGCCGACCACATGGGAGCAGCGCACATCACTGCTCAGAGGCTTTCAGTCGTTTTGCCTCGAAGCCGGACTGCCGCTCAACCTCGACGCGGTGCCGGTTTTCCTGGAGTCGAAGGAGCTCAAGTACTCTACCAAGGTGCAGTACGGCACCACACTGAAGTCCCTGCTCACGAGGGAGATAGCGGTGGTAGACGCGTACCTGGCGGGATGCCGGAAGCGCGAGGCAAAGGAGGAGGTGCGTCAGGCAGCACCGATCACACCAGCGGACATGCGGGCCCTGGTGGAAGGGGCCCCTTCGTGGGCCGACGCCACTGTGATGCAGTTGGCATGGATGACCGCGTCGCGGTGGGGGGAGGTGAAGGATCTCCGAGGGGAGAACCTGCTGCCACAACCGGACGGGTCGGTGATTTTGGACTGGGCAGCCATTCCAAAAACGGCAAAGATCAATCCATACCGCGCACATCGGTATGTGAAGTTGCAGGGTCCCATGGCCCAGGAGCTGCGAAAGTTGAAGGCTCAGGTCGGGGAGAGCGGCAAGCTGACTGGGCTCACGACGACACAAATCGCACAGCGTCTGCGCGAGCGCGGATACTCAGCACACTCCATCAAGCGAGGAGCTCTTCAGTCAGCGGCACAGCTGGCCCAAGAGCACGCACTTCCCCCACGCTCGGTGGTGGCTCTCGCGAAGCACGCAGACCCTCTGGATATACCGACGACGACGGTTCGCTACATGGGCCCAAAAACCACGGAACTCACGAATTCTCACGTGCTGCCGGGTTTACTCGACCGTTTGGTTTTTCGGAAGTGAGTCAGGCACCTTGGATGGAACCAGAGCGGCGCGTTGCTTTTGGAGGGCACACGGTCCTCCGCCGAGCCAACAAAAGTCGTGTTGCGAGTGAGGAGGAGCAACGTTCTCTCCCCCTCCAGAACGTGGACGTGCAGCCGCTGAACGTCGAAATCTTGCGGTCACGCATGAAGGCGTCGGCCAAGGCGCGGTTTGACGAGTTATGGCGTTTACTGTCATCGCCGGAACAGCTCGATCCAGGAACGTCACCGCTCAGGACGATTTTTGAAGGTGATGCCCGAGTCCTCATGTCGGCAGGCGTCTTGGTGCCGGCGTCTCCGAGACCTACGCGGGGTTGGTTCGTTCCTTTCTCGGTTGTGGAGGAGAAACCTTCGGGGCTACGTAGGAGGTTTATCGCGTGGCCGAAAGAGAAGAACCTGGAGGACTCCTACGAGGCTGACGTGCCGTTGGGTCACATTTCCGCATACCTCGACGTTGTGTGGGAGGAAGGCGCATCCAATTTGGACCTGAAAGCCTCGTTTTACCAGGTACCGCTGCCTGAGGAGGCGCGTTCGGCTTTTCGTTGCCGCCTCGACGACGGCACCCTCGTTGAGCTGGCGCGGCTGCCGATGGGGTATGCTGCGAGTCCGGAGCTTATGCAGTTGTTAACGTCGGCGTTGGCAGGAGTACCCACTGTGGTCGATGCCGCCTTCGCCTGCCCAACGGCATTGAAAATCCACGTCTGGATAGACAATGTGAGAATTGCTGGTCCCCTGAAGGCCGTGGAGGCCTGGACGCGGCGTGTGACACAGTTCGCGCGGGACGCCAGCGTCACGATTGGTGAGTCGGAGGTTGCGGTTGCGTCATATACATTCGTCGGGGTGTTTTTTGATCACGCAACTCATACTGTACGTTTAGGTGAAAAGACATGGCGCCATCTGCGGGAGACCCCTCCTTTCGAGGAGATGACGGTGGGTGATTTGGAGGTCTTTACATCCCGCGCCATCTATGGCGCGGCGGTGCTGGGCGTCCGCCTGTTTCGTAACTACATGTTTCTGAAGTTTGTGAGACGCCAGCTGAGCTCCCTCAATAGAGGTAAGATCACCACCAGGAGCAAGATCACCATGACGCCCTACATCCGGGGTTTTCGCGTCTGATTTGTTGGAGGTCTTGCACCGAAACGAGGCGCGTCTCGTGCATCGGCCGGGGGGTGAGCCGACAGCCACATTGGTGACGGATGCTTCGCTCCAGGGTTGGGGGGCGGTTCTTTTTCTGGGCGCCGGTCCAGTATTCATCACGGGGGCTCGGTGGGATTCTTCACCGCGGATGATCATGCAGGCTGAGGCGCGTGCGGTGCACCTGGGGCTGCTGGCTTTTCGAGAGCGCCTACCGAGACGATTGTTTGTATTGATCGACAACACATCAGTTCTGGGGGCGGTGCGACGCGGAATTTCGAAATCGGGAGCGCTTGCGGCCGAGCTACAGCAGGTGGACCAACTTCTCCGCGACGAGGGGATACACGTGGTTTTCCGGTACATTCGGTCTGAGGACAACGTCGCGGATTTTCCCTCACGCGAACGCGACATTCCCACGACGGCTTTGGCGAAGGGGTATAACTTGCGAAGGGGAGACAGGGACCCATGGGATCCTTAAAAAGA